GAGCAATTGCGGATGTTAATCCAATTTAGCTCCGATGGATAACTAGGTTCGGGATTTATAACACTTATACACGTGGGATGAGGTCACAAAACACTTAAATTGGGTCGGGGTTATCACTTAACAATTAAACTTTAATAACCGGGAAGGGTTTATTATATACAATAAGAAAAGCGAGACAACAATAATAAAGAAATACAACAACAATAAAAAGAATAACTAAATTAAACTAATAACTAATACATAAACTCTAATACATAAGAGGGGATCCGAATATAAACTATAACTAAAACATCAAAAGGTTCTATATCATCATTTGAGACAAAGCCTGCCTATATATGTGGAGACACAGTCTAAGGAAAACTTAACTAAGGCTTAAACCCATGCCTTAAATACCTTTTACTTTACTAAGGGCTACTGCGCTATCTTTAATCCCAGGTTTATATTCTTAGCAATCAATCTTCGGAATGTTAGATAGCCTCCAAATATTGCTCACAACGATTGTGCCAAATATTTACTACAATTATTGCTTCTATCTAATGTTTATCGGATAGTAGGTGTAATTAATTACCGGGATTGATCTACATCTCTAAGCCTTAATCTGCCGGATTGATCTATGTTTCTAAGTCTTTATCCGCCGCCTAAGAGCTTCACAATATTCTTGTGGCTTCGTTCATTCAGGCTTTTAGTACCACCAAATAGCAACCAGGCCATGAGTTTAAACTTTAAACCGTGGCACCCTGTAAAATGATAAAAGAAGGCACCATGTAAACTACGAATGTAAACAATAAAAAATACACCTAAAACAATGAAATAAAGTATAACAAAGCTCTATTAAATGACGAAAGAAAGCATAAACAAAGCCCATAAAATAACAAAAGAAGGCACCATAAAAATGACTGAAGAAGGCACTGTGAAAACTACAAATGTAAATGATAAAAAAAAGCACCTAAACCAATAAAATAAAGTATGATGAAAGAAGGCATGAACAAAAGCCCTGTAAAATAATGAATGAAAGCTCTGTAAAAATGATAAAAGAAAGCTCCGTGAAAACTATAAAAGAAAGCTCAGTAAATGATGAAAGAATGTATGAACGAAAGCTTGATGAAAAAAGGTACCATAAAAATGATGATAGAAAGCTCAATAAAAATTATGAAAGAAAACACCATAAACTACAAAATAAACTACAAAAGAAAGCTCCATGAAATGAAAAAAGAAAGCTCCTAAAGCAATAAATAAAGTATGAAAGAAAACAACAAAAAAGAGCTCCTAAAATAACAAAAAGAAAACTCTGTTAAACAACTCCTAAAACAGCAAAGGAAGGCTCTGTGAATAACAAAAAAAAAAGGCACTGTGAAATGATGAAGAAAGCACTATAAGATGACGAGAGAAAGCATGTAAAAACTGAAAAGGATGAAAAAAAAAGCACTGTAAAAACGTGTTAAAGAAAGATAAACCTAAAAAATAAAAAAATCTATTACACTTGATTTACTAATATCATATTATCGATTTCGTCCAATTGGAAATGTGATTTACTGATAACCAATAGAAACTTGGGGAAAATTAGTAAATGCCTTCGCTCCACCCTTCCACTTTCCAATGTAGATTTTATTTTAACATTAGCGATTATGGTTAAGTGGTTCCGTAAGATTTTAAACTAAAACTTTAAAAAAAAAATCCAAATAATAAAATCGAATAATAAAATTTACTAACCCTAAGTTAAATGATTATTAAAATTTTTTTTTTAAATCGGAAAAATCGGCATTATATAATTCATTATCTATCTGCATTCCTTTAACTAAGTATAAGGGCTCTGCATTAACTATGCGACATGTATGCTCTTTGAATTCATCTTCAAAATAAAAAAATGCATAAATTTGTGTAACATAAATGCCTAATATTTCTAAAGACATGAGTTCTGAGTAAATTCAGCATGACTGTAGTATGATCTCTCTTACGGTGCTTTCACTTTTAGAAGGCAATTGTTTTAAAACACATTGTTATAAACAGTTTTATAAGTTTTTTTTTAAACCAAAAAATATTGAGTAACTTGAACATCATATGATATTCATAATAGCTTTAAATCGTATTTTATTAATAACAGTTATTAATTTAGTCTAATTTAAAATATTTTAAAGCTCTGCTTAAAACTGGGTTACCAGAAATGCCTGGAAGAATTTTTTTTAAATACTATTAATTAAACCTGCAGTTAATGTTTTAAATCAATTTATTTAATAAAATAATTAATTAAACTTTTAAACTAGCTATTTTAAAGCTTAGTTTAAATTACGCAAATAATATCCCTCCCTGACATTCAGATATACATAATATAAGTCCTTTTGTAGACGTTCATATTTAATGTATATGAGAATACTGTGATAATTTAATGAGATTAACTTTATAAACAAATAAGATACATTAACTTAAGTTATTATGCATAAAAAGTATCTGAACACTAAATAGATACTATTTAGTAACAAATATTCGCAATATTAAGGCCGGACCAACTTGATTTTCGGCTTTAAAAAAAACCCCCAAATTAGGTTTGGGTTTAATAATTGTTAATGATTTCTGATTTTAATTTCAGTGCGTGTCAGATGAATTTTATAATTAGGATTTACTTCTGTAGCTTTTTGATACCAATATAATGCTTTTTCCAAATTTATTTGTGTACCTACACCGTATTCGAAACAATTTCCAAGTTCATATTGCGAAGTAGTTAGTCCCCATAATGCCGCTTTTTCAAATGATCTAAATCCTTCAATCAAATTAGTATTTGTTCCTTGACCTTTTTGGTAACATAATCCTAAGGTATTCAACGCTTTGATATTTCCATTTTCAGTTGCTCTCTTGAGATAATAAAATGCATTAGTATATCTTCTAAGCTTATAATAATACTCTCCAAGCATGTGTTCCGCTACTGCACATTCATTATCAGCTGCCTTCTTGTACCATTTAATTGCCTCCTTCGTATCCCTATTAGTGTTCCAACCTTCTGCATAACACCTTCCAACAAAATATTGTGCAATAGCATCTCCTCTTCTTGCCGCATCACTGAATAAATTAAGAGTCGCTACACTATTTTCATCTATGCCAATTTTCCAACGATAAAACAATCCAAGTAAGCAAATATATTTTGAATGACTGTTATTTGTCAATAACCATTGAAAAACTTCTTCATTGGTTTTATCACTTTTGGATATGAAATTGATAATTATATCTCTAACTGATCTACCTTCATTAAATAGTTTACTAAAAGTCGAATATAGATTATCTACTAAGAGAGTCATTTCATCCACCATGGCATTTAATTTAATATTATTGTCTTTAATACTTTCGAAGGTGTTCTTAATAAATTCTTCAAATTCTGATATATCGGATAAATCAAAACTTTCATTGTCTGTAATGCCTTGAAAAATAAAATCTTCAAATGCCAAAGCTACTTCTTCGATGGATGGTCGATCATCTGGCATATTCCGCCAACATCCTAATAAAGTAAGTCAAGTATTTATGATTTAAAGGTTTAAAAATATAAACAATAAATTATAATTAAGCTTACTTTTATAAATAGCAACATATTCATGATGTGTATCAGCAATCGGATTTTCCCGTAGTCCGTTCTTTATCCTATCTGGTAGAGTTGCTGGATCCTCATTTTTAAAAGGTTGTCTTTCACTTGATATTTCCCAAAGAATAACCCCGATGCTATAAATATCCGATTTTTTATTCTTTCTATATCTGCGAAAATTTCCATTTTGGCTTGGTTTTGTTATAAAACATTGAGGGTCAATATAGGGTATAACTCCGAAAATTTCATATGTGATTTGGGACTTTGAAGCACGTCGTGATAATCCAAAGTCAGCTAATTTTAAAGTTTCTTTATCAATAAGAATATTATTTGTATGCTTTAAGGTAAACAAATGAAAACTCATTAGAATTATACAGTAATTACACAAAACATAGTACAATCACATATTATAGAATTTACCAGATCACCGTGAACAATATTATGAGCATGCAACCATTTAATGGCTTCTACGAGTTGAATTGCAAATTGAATCTTTAATGCCCATTCGATATTTGTCGAATTTTTGTGTAAATAATCTCGCAAAGTTCCATTATCCGCGTACTCAAGAATAAGCACATATTTGACTAAATTTGCATCCATTTGATCAATTTTATATGTAATACCATAGAATTTAATAATGTTCTCATGAGATTCTACGGAAAGCATATGCTCTATCTGAATATTATTTGTCACGATTGCACATTTTAGCATGTAAATAAATGTTTACCTAATTACCTGTATAAAATATTACTTACCTCATTTAGAATTTCTTTATTAGTATGGTTATTTTTTTCAATAATCTTCAATGCACATATATTCTTTGTACTTTTAAATCTTGCTTTATAAACTTGACTAAAAGCACCACTATTAATAAATTTATAATCTTCGAATTCATCCATCTTATGCTCATTAATTCTCCCTTCAATGATTTTACGTTCAATCCATTTTTCTTGAGAATCCATTTGATCATCAATTAAAGAAAGTCGCATAATTTTTAATTCTTCAAGAACATTATTAATTTCTGGACGTCTCTCAGGTCTTTGATCCCAACAACGTTGATAAAGTTTAACATAATCATCTGGTGTATTCTCTACAGGGGTTTCTCTCTTTCCATTGTATATATGAATAATAATTGCTTCTCTATTTAAAAAGTAATCGAAAGGTAGCCTACCACTAGAAATCTCCCAAAAGATTACTCCAAGACTATAGATATCAGATCTCTTGTCACATTTATATTCATGATCTTCAAAGCACTGAGGCTCTAAATATGCGTACATTTTACTAGCTTTAAACATTGTTATTTCTTTCATGTGTTTAGAAATCCCAAAATCTGCAATTAACATCCTATTATGATAAACTAAAATATTTTTTGAATGTTAACGGAAAAGAATAAAAAAGTTGTTTAGTACATTAATTAATTAAAAATAATATTTTTTATATGTATAAAAGTTCTTACAAGATCTCTATGAAAAATTTTGTTATCATGTAAAAATGATAACCCTTTAGCTATTTCATGTGCAATTCGAAGTTTATCAGACCATTTTAATTTCGAAAAGTTATTTCTTAAGTATTCGCATAAATTCCCGCTTGTAGCATGTTGTAAAATCAAGTTATATTGATTCTTTAAGGGATCTGTTAAAATAAAGAATTAGTACGTTAGTTATAAAGATCATATTGTTTTCCAAAAATTATATATACAGGGGAAGGGGCATAATTCTTGAACATTCTGCTTTACTAGTACTTTACTAATAGGGGTTTCAAAGTTAAAATCAGAGAATCTCATTTTATTTTTCCGATTTATACTATTGAAAAAATCCTATTTATTTTCGAAATGCGTCACTTATTTGTTAACTTTGAAACCCCCTAATGTGGTGATCCAATTTTGATGATTTCATCTCAATGAGATAGCCCGAATGATACCAAAATCATCAAAATTGGATCACTATATCACGAATAGTGATGTGATAGAATCGTCTTGTAACTAGTTACGATATAAGCTTTTAAGTCATAACTATATTAGTACGATTCTACTGCATCATAATCACGAATTACTGCTGATCAAAATTCAACTAGTAAAACAAAGTGGTCAAGAATTAACGTAACTGTAAATTTTTATATGTTTAATTACCATTAGTTACTCCATAAAATTGGATAATATTTGGATGTCTATGTTTATCAACAGCAGCTAACTTCCGAAGCTATACATCAAAGAAATTAGATAATATCAAATTATACTCGGAATTAAAAAAAAATCTACCTCATTAATAAACAATTTAATCGCATTAGTAATAATAGTTTTATTATTAATAGTAGTTTCAATGGGAGTGATATTATCGGTATTAATTGCATGCTTAATTTCACCAATAATTTCGCTATCGATTTGGCTAGTGTCAATGGTTATGCTCTTAAGAACAATCGTAGAATTTTCCCATGTCGCTTTGTAAACTTTTCCAAAGGGGCTTTCGTCTATCTTTTCAAAATTGCTAAACAAATTATATTCATACTTTTTTATTTCATTTTCTTCATTAATAAAATAATTAATTAATTCGTTTAATTCATTCGAAGCGGTTGCCATAATATGCTAAAAAAAACAAAAAAAACAAAAATGCATAAATCGATTCGTCATAATTAAAAATTATATAAAATTCATGCAGGCATGAAGTGTTACGTTAGATTTCCTTTGTTTCTACTTGCAAACTCTTATTTGTATACTTCGTGACATTGTTACACACAAATATTGCCGAGTGTGGAAGGACAACGCCTTAAAATATTTTGTATTTTACATACGTACGCAGCTGCGCAACATTTAGTCACAAGTAAGACATATGATACATACATATGAATGATTTGTTTTTGCAGATTCTGATTTGTTTAGAATAAGTAATGGCTTTGTGTGCTTTAAAGCTTTTTGATTGGTCGTCTACAAGTTGCGTTGATTTTTCTTTGTTTACTAGAAGACAGATTTTAGGGTTAGGTTCATTGGGCAAAATTATATCAAAATTTTGCAAGGAAATTTTGTTAATATACAAAAGGTTTGTTTTTTTTAAAAAAAAAGAAAGAGAGATTGTTATTCACACATACTTTTAAAATAACATATTAATAAATCATATATTCACATTACATTTAATAATACGATTTATTAGCTTTGAATCATTGATTACGCATAGAAAAATAAAAAACGCATTAACCGTATCGCAAACAGTGTTTCGGTCTAAACCTCCCCCAAAGTCCGAAACGTTTCGCCCAGAGGAATTTTAGTTTCGCCCTATAAGTCCGAAACCCTCCGAAACTAGTTTCGCTCAATTTGATCTGCAAATGATCTGCAAATTTGGGTTTCGCCCGAAACACTGATCGCAAACGCTAAATATTTATTCTGTAACCTGTAATAATGGTTAATATAGTAATTGGCAAGGATCCTATCATTGTTGGCAAAATATTGACCATTGGACATGGACATTTTTGGGCTATGTCCATATTGGACATATTGGAGTCTAAAAAATTATTTAAAATAAGTATTGAAATTTTTTGGCTGTAAATAAGCACTAAATATCATTCAAAATTTCAAGATCAATCGGTATGCTGCCATATTCTAAAAAAACGTGATAAATAATAGATTTAGTAAATTGTCTTTTATGTATAATATACAGATGCATTAAACGCAGCTTATCATAGACAATTTATGCCAAAACTGACTAATGAATTTTTTATCATTTTCGCCATTACACTTTACGGCTGATTTCGTAAATCCTGAAACATTTAAATTTGCTGAATGATTTTTTTAGCTGATTTTTGATTAAGGGTATTCTCAAATATCTCAATCAAT